GCCTGGAGCGGAGGAGGCGCTGAGGGCCGCGCGTTAATTTCTGTTACTTTATAATCCGCATAAACCTGCCACGTCCAGTTGGCAGGGCGCAAAGCTTTACGCCTTGGATGCTTTGGTTTCTTTTCAGCTTGTGAGCTGCCGGCGGGCTGTGTGCCCCCCGGCTCCTTCCAGGGACAAGGGTGAACCATCGAGCCTGAACCACCCGTCCCTCTGCGCTTGCTCCAGCCACCCCGTGTGCAGGGAGCCACCGCCACAGGGGTAGATGCCTGGCAATGCATGGGAGAAGCGCTGAGGGGGCGTGCGGCCGGGAGCGGGGCCGGGGCCCTGCCACCAGGCCAGGCCCACCTCTGTCCCCTCGCCGGCATTTGTTTTCTGACACTGTGGCTTCCGCTCACCACCAGCCACGGAGAGGAAGGGTTTCTCAGTAAAGAACGCTCCCGATTTCAATACTGTGTCGCTGTTAAGAAATAAGTGTATCTCTGCCGAAAATGTTCAAAAAAATGGCGATGGATTTTTAACTTCACGTATGCTAAAGGAACTGGTTTTTAGAAAATACCACCAGAAACTTACTTGTCTGACATTCAACTCTTGACAAGATCTCTTCTGAGAAATGCCTCAGGCTCCATACTCGAAATGAATCCCCTAGCTCCAACAAATGTATGCTCACGTTTTCTATATTTATTCTGTTGCTTCTTCTGAACTAGAATAAACTACTAATTCTTAGTACAACCTACAGTCTAATTACATGTAATGACTTTGACAGCTGAAAAGCCTCAACTGGAGTTCAAATGGTGGTCTAGAAAGACTGCATATGCCTAATTTTTCTTTCTCTTAAAGCGGCTTTTGATGATCTAAGTCACCGAATTGTTTAGACCTTGCACAGCACAGCTCTACTTCCAGTTAAATTTACAGTGCCAGTGTCTGTATTATCTGAACACTTCCAAAAACATGTATGTAGTTATTCTCATCGTATCCCTATGGGCAGGGAAATATTACTCCTGTTTTACAGGTGAAGGAATGAATGCAGAACGGTTACGTGCCAGATCCATAAAGGATTTAGCACACACCTGCTCTGCACATTACAGGGTAACACTGAAATAGCCGCGGTAAAACGAGAAATAGGCTTGCAGAGTTCAGTGCTGCTGGATTGCTGAGCTAGCTGTAATGCCTAATGTGGGACGCAGACAGAACTTTTAAGCATACAAATCCAAAATTTTGATCCCTTTAAAAGCCCTGTCAGCTGCCACCTAATGCTGAAGGAACTGAAATTTGAGAAATGTGTGTTTGAAGTGTTTGGGAGGGGTTCGGACTTCCAGTTCCCCGGACGTCTAGCTCTGTGCTGCTGCACCTGCCCACAACTTTCTGTCTCAGCAGGAGGCAGGGGACGGGACCTCACAGGCGCTCCCCCCAGTTCTCAGCCATAACTCCGAGCTCTCTGCTAGCTCGATTGAGACAGCTCCCCGGTTACGTTGGATTGCTTCCTAAGGCATTCAGCCCTCCACCTGCACTGTAAGAGGAGACGGGGTCCTGAAGTTATTCACTGTAAGTGTTGCCTGCTGCCTTTTTTGGACGTAGTCTTGAACAACCTGCCTAAAATCACATAGGCCGCTTTCTGCCGAGCTCAGACTGCATTCCTCTGCTCTTACCGTGGAAGAGAACACCATCCACACTCACCAAGAGCCGGGAATTATTGTTACAACATCCCATTATGCCAGATACTGTTATAGTTGGAAACAGAAATAGTTTTGGTATTAAGCTTTTTCTTCTTGGAAACTAAAACGGTGGGTTTGAAAGCTGTTTTCTAATGCCAAGGAGCTCCATCACTGAATTCAAAGTTGAAAGTGTTTTGCTAATAAAGCTTAAAATGAAAATGCTCTTAAAAGGCAATAGTCATATGAAATCTCTTTTCTGGATCTGTCATGTTCTGCTCTTGTGCCACTTTTGCAGGAACCAACCAGAAAGGTAGTGATCCAAATCTCACATAAAATAATGGCAAATGCCAGGGGTTCTGAGGGGACTGTTTAAAAATGCAGAAAACTCACCGTAAGCTTTTCGTAGCTATCGCAGCTAGTTCTACATATTACCAAATGAAAATGAAAACAACACAAAAAAATAACCAATACCCTTTTTTGCTCAGTTTCCTATTAAAAGACCTTTCTCTTTTATTATGAAACCCATCAGTCAGTTCAATAGTAATTCATTCAGAATTGCGGTTCAGAGAAGTGACACCTACCAAGGAAGGAGAACACAGTAATACAGCAAAGCATGGAACTCTGTGTCCTGTGCATGACGTATGGGGCATATAGAGAGATTTCTGTGATTTGGGCTCGTCACCTAATAGGGTCTAGAAGCCATTTTAGTTCAGTAATGTTAGTTTAGTAATGTAGCAATGGTCACATCCTTAAAGTAGGTAGGAGAGGAGAGAAAACAACTCCAGGATAGTCATGGCACAAGGAAGAATGTACACGTCTAGGATCCATGTATGCTGTGAATGAATAAAGTGCTAATTTGTCTTCTGTGTGAACCAAATGGTTCATTTGCTTGTTAAGATGCACTCTCCCACTGTGCAAGGGTATGGACAAACTGAATTTTATGTATGGAGCATTTACAGATACTACTAACTTGTGTAGCGGTGGTAAAGATCAGTCCCAGAAGGTAAGTGAGTGGATGAAAAATACAGGAAATTCAAGAAATTTGAATCATGTGACTTAAGGACTCTGCCTTAAGCCCAGTCCTACTCGGCATTCATTTATTAACGTTGGAACTTCAGATATTTTCTTATATCAAGTTTAAAATTTCCCGACATGAAAGGAAAATAGGTAAGAAAATAAATGAATAAATTTGCTTTAGAGGATCACTATGAGGAGTAATATAGAGAAGAGAACATTTTAACATGTTTTTAAGTTTTATCACAGCATCACCACAAACAT